AATTCCTTTTCATTGATTCTTCATTAAAAACATTGTCTGCCTTTTTCGGAAGAAATCATGAGTAAATCTTTAGGAACTGTAATAAGCAAGTATAATTTTTTAAAATATCCTTAATGAACTTTTCTTGGTAAAAATGTGGTGATTCTTTTATTGTTTAATTTCTTATCGTCTGAGCGAACAAGGAAAAACAAAACTGACTAGACAAACATATTCCTGCTAATCCCATAATTCTCTTGATGGTTAACAATAAAGCGTGTCAAATTAAGACAAGAAAATACAGATCTATGAAAATACATGCGAAACATAAAATGCATACAATAAGAAAATGTATGGTACTTTCATCTTTTTTTTTTCATTTAAGAAGACATGGTACGATTTACGCAAACATTTTTATTTTAAGGATTTTCAAAATATTTTTGGTTGACTCCTATGTGTGTATACTGTATGCAAAACAGATTTTGTGCTCAAAACTTCATAAAAAAACTAGCCATTTAATTTTTAAGGAAACAACTTAAAAATTGTGAAGTGATTTTAAAATGCTACTCCTCCTCTACAAAAATCTACTTACAAGCATGAAATTTGATTCACAAGTACGTCAAACTATGTATAAAAAATTGATATGGGTTTTGCGATAACTTGGTTGGTATTTGTACAATACTTCCTTTTATGAATGCTTTTTGGAAATTCATTAAAAAAAGTATAAATTCTGAGTTACATTATTTAAAAAAAAAGTATTGCTTTGATTTAAAAATGCATATCAAATTTTGTTACAAATCAAAATTAGCAATAGGTAAATAAAATTCAAAGCATTGGGCACAATAGAAAAAAGCCTTAGAATTTTAAATGAAGGCAAACTAGTTGTTTTTTTCTTTCTGAGATAAGTCTGTTTAAAGTTATGATTTGCCATAGGGATTTAATTAAAAACGAATGTAAAAGCTATAATAATTCTGCGTTTTTTTAAGTTTAGAGTTTTCACATTTTGTGAAACTATAGAAAGTATATAAAGAATAATTAAGGCTAAAAAAATTAGATTAAATATTTTGACCGATTTTTGTCAATCGAATCGTACTGTGTCCCCTTTATATTACTGACAATAAACTTAGTAACGCTATTGTAAAATCACGGAGAAACGAAGTGACGGCAAGTTTTAGCTTGGATAGCAAATTCAAATGGTAAAATCGTGAAAAGCTAATAAGAGTAGCATTGGAAAATTGTCGGAAGTAATCCGATTCTCAACAGGCGATTTTTTCGTAAACATTTAAAAAAAGATACGCGTTAATTAGATATATTGTTCAACGAAATGAATTTATGCTACACTGAAGAGACAAAAAAATCTAGTACAGGCATGCGTATGCAAATAAAGATATATGGAACCAATCAGAGTACGGTGCTGCGGTCGGCAAAGCCTATATAAAAGAACGAGTGTCTGGCACAGTTGTTAAATAGGTTACTGCTGCTGCAATGGCTGGTTATCAAGATTTAAGTGAGTTTGAACGTGGTGTTATAGTCGGCGCACAAGAGATGGAACATAGCATCTCCGAGGTAGTGATGAAAATTGGATTTTCACGAACGACCATTTCACAAGTGTACCGTGAATATTAGGAATCCGGTAAAACATCAAATCTACGACATCACTGCGGCCGGAAAAAGATCATGCAAGAACGGGACGAACGACGACTGACGAGAATCATTAAGCGCGACAGACGTGCAACCTTTCCGCAAATTTCTACAGATTTTAATGCCAGGCCATCAACAGGTGTCACGTGCGAACCATTCAACGAAACATCATCGATATGGGCTTTTGGAGACTAAGGCCTACTCATGTACCCTTGTTGACTGCACGACACAAAGCTTTACGCCTCGCCTGGGCTCGTCAACGCCAACATTGGACTGTTGATGGCTAGAAACACATTGTCATGTCTGACGAGTCTCGTTTCCAGCTGAATCGAGCTGGTGAACTTGTACGTGTATGGAGACAATCTCATGAAGCCATGGACCCTATAGGTCAAAAAAGGACTTTTGAAGCTAATGGAGGCTCTGTGATGGTATGGGGCGTGTGCAGTTGGCGTGATATAAACCCCTGATACGTCTAGATATAACTGTGACAGGTAACAGGTACGTAAGCATCCTGTCTGATCACCTGCACCCATTCATGTTAATTGTGTATTCCGGCTAACTTGGGGAATTTCAGCAAGACAATGCGACACCCCGCACGTCGAGAATTGCAACAGTGTGGCTCTAGGAGCACTCTTCTAAATTTAAACACTTCCGCTGGCCACCAAAATCCCCAGACATGAACATTATGGAATATATCTGGTATGCCTTGCAACGTGCTGTTCAGAAGAGATCTCCACTCCCTCTTACTCCTACTGATTTATGGAAAGCCCTGCAGGATTCATGGTGTCAATTACCTCTAACACTACTTCAGATATAAATCGAATCCATGCCACATCGTGTTGTGGCCCTTCTGCGTGCTCGTGGGGGCACTACACAATATTAGGCACGTGTACCTGTTTTTTTTTTGGGGGGGGCTCTTTAGTGTATAAGGGTTGCTCAAATGAAAAGTGGACAAGTTGAATAAAAAGAATATATTTATAGGAATTTAAAATGAATTGCATTGCGCATTGTAACACTCAGGTCTCATCGTTTCGACAGTAGGTCTATGTCTTCGCTGTAGAAAATTGTGGTTGATTCTCGAGGAAGTCTTGGGTAGCTTCCTTTATCTCATCGTCCGAATGAAAACGTAATGCTCATTTAAGTAGAGAAAGCATAGACGGTTTCAGGGAGACAAATCGAAACATTTTACGGTTAATATTCCGACACTTTTTCAACTAAATTTTTTTAACACCAAACATACCAAAATCGGTCAAAAGTCCGATTTTAAATTTTTGTGTAAAAAATGCGCATTTGACTTCAAGACTTTTTCTTTTAATTACATACGATTAATATTATATTATTTCTTAGTTTGTATTATGTTTATTTTGAGCAATATATGTCGTGCATACATTATCTACCACAATCGGTCTCCTTACCGGGAGAATAATTTATTCCTTTATAAGGTTATTGGGTCAAAAATTATGATGTACATGCGTATTCAACATATTGTATTTAGTGAGTTGCACAATTCTACAAAGAATGTTGCGTAGTTAGTTCTATCAAAGAGTAACTGTGAATTAAAATTTCAAGACACAGCGCTTAAAATTTTAGATTAGAAGTAGCAATTTAGTGTAAGAAAAGATAAAAAAAACTATAAGTATTGGTTGGTAGCTTATATTTTATTTTGATAGTCTTGCTCCATTACTAATACAAGTTTCTTTTTTCTCATGAGAATGTCGAAACGATCAAGACAGTGGTAGTTCTTAGAAGATATATAATATAGGCGACGAGTTTTTGGAAACTAATGAGGATGAATTTTCTGAAAATGAAGTTTTACTGATTGGAAATGATAATGATCTATTAGACAATGAAGTTGAATGAACAGATACTGACGATGAAGAGGAAAATATTGTGAATATAAGTCGTAGACGCGAAAAAGAATGAGATTTCTCTCAAGTTTTGAAGAAGAGATAGAAAAAAATGAGCAGCAAGTTGTGATTGACGGATCTATTTGGCATGAAATACAAATGTAGGTGGTACAGCTGGAAGATCAGAATTCCATGACATTTTCAGGCTGGAAGGATATTCCCAACATGATAGGCAAAATATCATGTTATGAAAGGTAAAATTAGGTCTGTATTTTTGTGGGTAATTGACCCCTGTGTTATGAACCATATCAGAACTTGTTCATTAAAAGAAGCAAAGGGAGTGTTAGTAACCAATTTCAATTTATCTCAAGGGAAATAAGACACAACTGTTCAAATGTCGAAGAAATATACCACACAATCTAAGTCTTGCAATTGGTCTCTTCAAGCATTTTCAATATCCTTGATTTAACCTGAAATTTGTCCTAACAAACGACAGGAGAAAATATCTCGAGCCAAGATTTTTTACTCCAGTTAGAAGTAGAACTTGCCAATATAAACTCATGAATTTCAATAAACTCATGAACAATTAAAATACGAACAAATACGAAAGGAACATGCCTAAATCTATTACAGATTCTAATCAACGCAAGACGTGTTAAATAAGATATTGTGTAACGATAATAAAACCATCAAAATTTGTTCTAAAAGTGAAAAATACGTTGGCGGAAAATGTGCAATAGAGACACCCAGTATATGTAAAAAATGCGATGAACAATGAATTAAAAACTCTTATTCTTTATTTTTATAATATAAATCGAGAATATACATTTTTTGTTTAACTATAATAAAGTTATTTTGTTTATTTCCTTCCTGACATGACTGAAGTTCAATTCGTTATAGATGAAAATTATCTGTAATTACGTACTGAACATTAATAATGCATTATAAAAATCTGTGTGATAGTTAAATTTTTTGTGTGTGATATGAGACATTATTAATAATATTATGGAAAAAAGAGAGAAATAATGCAAGAATAATTTTGAAAATTACATTTAAAGCTACCTAGAATAAGGAGAAAGGAGAGATAAAATATAATATATAATACCTTAATTTTTGTTATCTGAATAATGCCCCGTATTCAAAATTAAAATAATGGAAGAGCTATTAAAAAATGAAAACAAAATCCATACTAACAAATTTCACTTGATAAAGTAAAATAATAATAAAGTCTATTAATTCATAAGGCCGTGCAACAACAAGAAGAAATATAAAAAAAACTCAGTCAATTCGTACTTAGGTCAACAAAAAAACATTTTATTTTAGATACTTTTTTATTAAATAGTTACAATTAATACAAATATGTATATACATATCAGAATCACAATATAAGGCAAAAGCGATTTTCCACGCAAATTTCCCTTTTCCTTTCTATATAGGGTGTTGGACTATTTTTTTGTTTATTTGTTACTATTTATTCATTGATTAAGTTTAATTCTTTTAATAAAATAGCATAGTAAAAAAGAAGTCACATTCTCTCATCCCATGTGGGACTTACAACTCACGACGTTTGAATTAAAAGTCCAACGCGCTATTCATTGCGCTACAGGGACACAACGAGCGATTTTCCTTTTTATATATGTTGTTGGAATATATTATTTTTGTTCGTTACTATTAATTAATCAATTAACTAATTAATATTTAAAACAACTGTAATAACATAAAGTGTCATCCAATACAAGTTTTAAAAAATGTATTTGAACTTGAGTGGATGAATAAAAAGTATTTTATTTTGAAAATATTTGAACACAAGATATATATATATACAGTCGAGCCTCTGTATAATGAACCACTATATTGCCAGTGGCTGCGGTAGCCGAGTGGTATAGGTATCGGATCGTGGCTTGCCTTGTCACGAGTTCGAGCCCAATACCACTTTAGACCCAGCGTGTAGGGCAGCAATACACGTTAAATCTGTCGAGAGCTGAAACATCCTCCCGTTGGTGTGGTGTGGTAGTTAGGAGAGGGGTACCAGCTCAGGTATCGTCCACGTCACTTGACCATGGTTCAAAATTACGTGGTCCGTCAACGAAATCCCTCGTGTAGCTGAACAGTGCAACGTGATTATTCAATCAATCAATCTATCTATGTATATAGCGAACTTTTTCCTGGAACCTTGAACATTTAACTATTTTCTTCGTAAAATAACCTCTCTATAGCAAAGTGCATTTTCTATATAACGAACTTTTTCTTTTGTGATTCAATTTTTGTTTTCCCTTTTTTAAAATTATTTCTGAAAATTCTCAAGTTATTCTCTCTTTAACACATTTTATGGAGGTGATAAATCATGAATTAGTTTTATTAGATCTTAACTCGCCGAAAGCATTAAAGTTCAGAACGTTTCATCCAAGAAGTGCAACCGGTAATCCCCATCGCCCAGTTCACTAGTAAACATCTTCGATAACCTCTTTCACCCTCAGTAGAGTTGTCCCGTGTCCACGAGTTCTAATTATAAAATGTATGTTTAATATTTCTTGTATGCTTTAATTTGTAAAATGTCCTTAAAATTCATTAATTTTAGTATAAAATTATTTTCTTAGTATTGAAAATATAGTGGATTCTTCGAGATTCTTTTTTCTTGTTTTCTTTGCAGTTTATCTTTCTTTCTTTCTTTTTTGATGGTAAGATATATAAAATAAATATATATTAATTTTAAAAAAGGTGTAAATAATTAGTTTTTTAATATATAGTGTTTATGAATTTAATTTTTTTTCCTTTAGTTTATTAAGTTCACATTAAAAGATGGATCTCTATATAAAGAATTTTCCATATAACGAACTTTTCTCCGGGATTTAGTGACTTCGCTATATAGAGGTCCGACTGTATAGGGAAAGTGTGAACTAATAGTAGGAACTGGAAAAATACATTCGTATTAGTACATTTCAGAATACAAATTAAGGCATATTCAATTCTTAATCAGTTAAAAAGAAGTAAAAGTATGTGAAAATATGGCACGGAATCTTATTACTAACTTCTTTTCATTAACGCGTAGAATAAATTATAAGCGTAGAATTCTGTAAAATAAATCAGCGAAAATGTAAATGTTACTGTATTTGTTGCCATCAACTAATTTAATATATTAGCATTTGCAAACTGAAAGTTTGTTAATATTATACTTTTAAATTAATTATATTGTTCACAACTACTTAGTATTAATACAATACAATATAACCAAAATACATTCTAAACATTATATCACAGGCTATTCACAAAAACTTCCATAACTTTTGTGACTAGATGAAATCAGAATCAAAATGCATCAAAAATAGCAAGAAGTCCAACGCCACTTTTTTTTAGAATGAAAGGTCATATGAATTTTATTTCCTGTTGCCACAAACGTTTCTGAATAAAAGGAAATAGTGTGAACTTGTGTTCGATGGGAAAAGATAGAAATGCGACGATTCCCAGAAAATGGGCTACAACATTTTTTGCTTTGGTACAGCAACTATCGACAAGCACAAACCGCAGAGGATTTACGAAGAGCGACGTTCACTTCAGTCTTTACTTTTTTTCCTCAAATCGATAGTCCTGAAAAATGAGATTTCTGTTTTTTCGATAGAGAGTTTATTTTTTTCCCTGAGAAACTGCAAATTCGAATAAAAATAATAAAAGAAATTTTTTCTTATTTAAAACGCCTCTGGTGACATCAAAAAAAAATCATAACTATATAATGTCAAAAAGAATTTTGAAGAGAGTTTGAGAATACGCATAAGAATAAAAAAAACCTTAGGATGTAAAAAAGAAATTCGAAATACTTTATTTGGACTAAAAAAACCTTTTTATTCAAATAAAGTAACCTTAAACGAGAGTAAAAATTTTTTTATTCGATTAGAAAATATATTCCTAGCGAAACATTTTTTAGATATATGTAATTAATACATTATTGTCTATTAAGTAACATTTTCGAAATAATTTTAATACATGAAATATTTAAAAAAGAAATCTAAGTTAAAACATATTTCGAAATGTCTCAATGTTAATTACTTCATTTTTTCATGTTTTAATTGTTTCATTTATGCTCGTGTATATAGGGTGGTTTTAATTAAATTTTCACTCTCAAAATGCTATAAAAAAGAATCACTGGTCAGAATAACTTCAAATTTTAATTAAATATACTTGAAAAAGGAAGAAACGATACTGCATAAGAAAAATTCCAAAATTTATCAACAGATGGCGCTGTAAGATGTAGATTGCATGTCCAGAGAAGCAACTGCTCCAGTCTTTTTCAACAGTTTGACCTTCAAGATCACCAGACCTCAATCCTTATGATTTCTGACTGTTGGGTTATCTTATAAATGCTGTGTACAGTAGCCCGATTGTAAGTTTAGCTGACTTGATGGCGAGGGCTATGCAACATATTCACAAAGTGACCCCAGAGACACACCACTCTGTTATTGATCGGTTTCAACTTGAGGAGGAAACAAAGCGGACAGCATGTTGAATTATCTTGTGTGTTAGTTAACAGGGGATTCGATGTTGCTTTTTATATGGTTTTTGACCCAAAGATGATTAAATTCCGATTTTTTGCATTCAATGTGGACCTTGCCTCAGTGGATAAGCTTTTCACTAACGCTACCACAACTGTTTCATGACTTGGAATTCCTTTTTTCTTCAAAAATTCTAAACAATCATGCACGTTGACCAGCAGAGTTGTTTTAATGCCCAAACACATGGCAAAGCTGTCATAATTAGATTCAAAATGTCACTTGTAGGCTAATCTCCTTTCGTTGTGCCGCTAAGAGCGTCCTCTATTGATAAATTTTTGAACTTTCTGCTTATGACATACTGTTTGCCCATTCTTCAAGCACATTCAATTCAAATTTGAAGTCATTCTGACAGTTGGTTCGGTAACGGATCTATCCGTGAACCTTTTACTAATTCTCTTGGGAAAATTTACTTCTTTTAAATGTTGTTCTGCTAAAAAACTTTCTCCTGAAGAAGAAGACGCGGTCTATGTTAATGAAGGTTTATATTTAACTGTAACTTTTAGGTACGAGAGAGAGGGGGGGTTAGGAGTTAGATAATAGAAGTTAGTGATTAACGTAAATTATAGTGGAAAGCTAGTCGAGGGTAACTCGATGATTAATTACTTAATATTTAAGATTGATAATTGATGATTTAGTCCATAAGATATACTTGAATAATAAAGATTAGAGGTCGAATAGCTAAGAAAGGAATACGGTAATTCAAACCGTAAGTAATCAAAGAGTGCTAAGCGTGAGTTAATTAAATCGTTATTAATTATTAAGTATCTTTTCTTCCGTGTAGTTGCTCCTATACTTAAAAGTAGTATGCATTTCCTAACCTGGGTTGTTGAGATTTAACGAAGGATTAATAAATTATATTTATTCTGACTGTGGCTAATTTTCATTCTAACTCCCAAACGTTAATAAACGGGGTGGTCCGTTCCTTGCTGTTCTTTTTTTTACAGCTTTTTGAATGTGGAACTTAAATTTTTATCACCCTGTACATTTGTAGAGTTTTTTTCCAATAATTATTTTCTTTACAATACAACAAAGGCCAAAAACATTCAATTGTTTAGTTACAGGATTGACAGGTTCATTCAAAAATTTGAAATAATTGAAAATGTAATTCTTTTATAATTATGAAATTAATTTACTTCTAGTATCTCAATGGCTAAGCATACTGATCAATAAAAATCCCAAGTTATGAGTTCTGACAATATGACACAATCATTATGTTATTTTTCTTATTTTGAACCATACACGTCAAAGAAAATATTGCTTTCCACTTTTTACAGTGTCATTTTTGTTTCCGTTTATAAGTTTTTCCTTTTTCTTTTGCATCAGAAAAACTCATTTTTTTTTTACAGATATTTTTCTTGCGAGAATAATATCAAGACTTGTGAGCTAAAATGCATACGATGACTTTTTTTCCAATGTTCAAAAGGAAAAGAAATATTGCTTAGAAAGCTGGAGCATTTTTCTTCTACGTAATTTACAGAAGATAACAAGAATTTTTTATGATGATTCTTTCATTTTTCTAAGCGATTTTTGGAGCCTCAGAATGTTTTTTTTTGTGTAATGATATCATTAGTTGAAATATGCCATTTTCAGCTGATACTGCTTCTCGCACTTATCTGTTTCCGATTTGAAAACATGTAGTGATGCCACAAATATTTGTCATTTATTAACGATTAAATCATTTATCTTGCCTCATAATAATGCTCCATAAACGAGATCATTGATAAGATATTAATCAATCGTATTGCATCAGTGTTGTATAATACGTAACAGTTTTCCGTTAAATTGTAATGGAAATATACTAGTAAATAGAATTTATTTTGGGGGCATCATCTATTTTAATATAGAGGGTTCTAACTTTATCTCCAATGCAAAGGATAGTACATTGAAGAAATTAAGTATCCTCTGTAATATATATATATATATATATATATACTAGCCGTTACCCACCCGCTTCACTGGGTATTTTACGATGTTGTATATATGTATACTGTTTACATATATATTAATTATTGGTATCTAGCATTAAGAATTCGATTGTATTGAAAAATGTATTTATAGCTGTTACA